ATATTCAGGGTTCTCTGAGAGCCTAGCTTCTATCAAAATCCTATTTTTAACTACGATATCTGTTCAAGTAATCAGAATTCTTCTGGGATTAGACATCTAGTGCTGGGTTTCGTAAGGGCAAATGTCTAGCTTCTAAGTGGGAAATTGAGGTAACTGGATCGTGTGGTACCAGCAACGGACTCCTCTTCATCCATTATTTAAATAAACTTTCAGAGCTTCCATCTTCCATTCCCTCAGGAACCTGAACTAACTGCGAATTGATGGCTCTCATTAGGTTTTCAAGCATGTACGTTTTACTGTTTTAAAACTCCCTTCTCAAATACTAGACATCTTCCTCAGACAACTTACTTTCAATATTTACAGCCCAAGTCTAACCTTCTAATTTTTATGGAATCCTTGCCTTCAATTGTAGATGGAGTGTTCAACCCCATCAAGTAGTATAGTATTATACTTTTTATTATACAAAAGTATTGTACTTTTGTATAATAAAAGTTATTGTAGTCTTCAGATTTTACAACTGTGCTTCCCTTCCAATATCCATCACCATCTTTCATTTCTAGCCCACTTGGATTTATACAAAAACTTTCTCAGGAGCTATATCTAATGCCCATTAATGTTAAGAATATCACTCTCTGCACTGCTGATGCCAGCTGATCAAGTTTTTCTCTCTGAGACCATAAACTCAGAAGATAGCAGGCAGGTCAGTGGAGGTTAGCAATACGTGCCTGTTCTCTCTTGTCTGTGCATGCGGGTCAGCAGACTCCCAAAAGAAGTGGATTTGAAGGACATGATAGCCTTGGGCACAGTAGAAAAAGTAGGCTGTTCCTAATATCATAAAAGAAAATGTGAGGCCAAGAGCAGGAGAAAAAGACAAAAGGCTGGATTTTTTCCTTTAAGCACAGCTGTGAGCAAGGAGTCACCCTCAAAGACCTTGCCACTGAGACACACACCTTTGAGTCACAATTCTCCAGAGATTCTCCTTGGCCAGCAAGTAGTAGGGATGGAGCCAACGTTCCACCATTCTCCGTCCCTATTTGCCAACCTGCTCCCACAGCACTAGTTTACCTCTGTGCACCAAGTCAGAGATTTAAAGGTGCTTTTACTCTCCTGCACTGGCATGTGGTCCAAGTCAAAGCCTAGTCCAAAGAGAACAGTCAAGAAAGAAGAGTAGAAGGGGCGCACAGAGCAAGGGAGCGGAAGGAAAGAAGAGTGGAGAGCCAGGCAGTGGCATCATTATGCAGAGAGCACTGAAAGTGAGGACAAGGAAACATCACTACAACCAAGTAAACTTTTACAAACTACAAATGATTGTGACCTTGGTCACATCTTGTAGTTCGTCTCCTCTGCCTGGAGTTCCAAATTGCTGGAGAGGGCTACAATATTGCATCAGGAACAGATAAAAGGATTCTGGAAAAAAAACCCGCATTTCCATTTTTCAAAATAATTTTGCCACCTAGTAGATTGTAATTACTTATATACATGGACATTAATTATTATAAAGTGCCTTGAGATTTGTCTTGGCTCTGTAATTACATGTTATTTCTACAATGAGTTCTGGATTTTGAAAGCAACCAGATTCTCTAGAGCATTTTCATTCTCAGTATAACAAGTAGGCCAGATATCTAAGTGTCAGGAAGGTTGTTTTCTGAAGTAGAAGGATGAGCTGTTTGAGGTCTTGATTGTTTGTTTGTTTGTTTTTGCTTTCTGGGCTCCTGCCACAAGATTAACAGTTGAGCTGTGAGCCATTCTGGCTGGCACAAATATTAAGGAGATTTTACCTGACTCAAGACTGGGCAAATCCAGTTTGCTCAAAATAAATACATCCCTCCTCTGATTACACTTTGTTAACTTGTTTGCACCTTTCCACTGCTCTGTTTGCAAGTAAGGTAAAGATTTTTAGTCATTTAGGGAAGCTCTTGGCCTACTTACTAATGGACAAACCCTGCTCTAGTGAGATTCCTCTACACAATGGGGCAGGATTTTGGAAATCCTCAGGAAACACAGCTGAGCCCAGGGTTGCAGGGCCTCCATGAATTTGCCTAGGATGCAGGATCTGGAATGGGAGTGTTGAAACACTGTGCAGAGCATAAGAACATATAAGAACATAAGAACGGCCATACCGGATCAGACCAAAGGTCTATCTAGCCCAGTATCCTGTCTTCCGACAGTGGTCCATGCCAGATGCCCCAGAGGGAATGAACAGAACAGGCAATCACCAAGTGATCCATCCCCTGCTGCCTTCTCCCAGCCTCTGGCAAACAGAGGCTAGCGACACCATCCCTACTCATCTTGGCTAATAGCCATTGATGGACCTATCCTCCATGGATTTATCTAGTTGTTTTTTTAACCCTGTTATACTCTTGACTTCACAACATCCTCTGACAAAGAGTTCCACAGGTTGTGCATTGTGCAGAAGTGGCCACCACCTTGTGACAGGGGAGAGGGGATTCCTGGCCATTTTTCTGTTTAGTATCCTATACCCATAACCATGGCATAACCAGCCAATGTTTCTTCCTCACAGTCTTATTCCCCCATGGATAACTCTAGCTAGTTGGGCCTGTCATGGTAAATAGAGGGGACTAGGATTTACTCCTTGGAGACTTTTACTACTTTGAAATTAAAATTCTTCTCTCAACTACAAAATAATCTATTCCCTCCACCCTCATATTTTTGATTAATCTATTGACAGAGCAACTTCATTTGGACAGTGTGGTACCCTTGAAGTACTGCAGTACAATAGTGGCTTTCTGATGGAGCAGTATTGCATCTCTGTATAAAACAGCAAAGACCAATGACTTAGAGACAGCACTAGATGGAGGGACTCAAACTTTTTACAGAATGCAGATAACTTTGTAAAGTGAGATACCCAGGGTGAAATCCTGGGTCCATTGAAGTGAATGACAAAACTTCCATTGGCTTCAATGGGGTCAGGATTTCATACCCAGTCTCCAAACAGATTAAGTAACATCTGATCTTACTCCCTCCTTCCCACTTTCTATGCCTCGATCCCTCCATATACAGATGCAACGAGATACCTCTTCCTCCAAGTTGCTCAGCTCCTGGGTTTTATCTTCGATAAACAAACAAACCATAACCACTATGATCCCTTTATGGTCTGTTAACCTGACCATATCACCCCAGTCTTTCAACCCTTCCACTATCCACCCTGCTCAACTGGACCCCACCTTCTTCATGTTTTTCCTCCATACCACATGATCCGCTTGCAGGCTCAATCTGAGAAGGAAATAATTTAACATAGCTCTTGCTCTAAAGAGATCTGTAGCCAAGAAATGAATGGGCATGGAAACTGAACTACCCTTTGGCCCACAGGCAATCCAGTGAAACTACTGACAGAGCAGTATGGGGAAACTTGAACCATGCCGTTACTTGTCCTATATCTGTTCTGCACATAGCATTTTATGTACCATATGCTGGGTACTATCATAAGAGAACTCCATGTTTCAAAAACAAATCTGGCTCTTTATTAATAGAACTATTTACAGAGGTTCTGCAACTGCAGCTAGCTTTCCAGCTACGTGTACACAGACTGACTTCCTTTGCCTCCTCCTCACTCTTCCCTCCTGCAACCTGTGCTCCTCCCTCCAAGTTCCGTGCTGGTTGCCGCAAATAGGCAAACAATTTTAGATTCCAGGACTCTTAATCCAACACCTTTCATAAGAACTCAACTCACGTGAATTTTTTAAGTTAAAAAAAAATGAACCCAGAGCATTTATCACTTTCACGGATGGCCCATGACTGTGTAAATAAAATGGTTTACAGTATTAATACAAATGCCCTTAACATGTTTAGAAGCTTTGGCACTGTCATGTAGCATCTCTTTTATCCTGACACTGTTCTTTGAAAATATCACTGAGCAGCTTCTCTGTAGTTCCATTTGTAATATGTGCATATTCTCAGTAACAGACCATGCTGTTGCAACTACAAAAGCAGTTTCTCCTCCCTTGATATTCACACCTCAACTGCTAGAAGAGGGCCTCATCCTCCCTGATTGAACTAACCTCGTTATCTCTAGACTGATTCTTGCCTGCATATTTATACCTGCCTCTGGAAATTTCCACTACATGCGTCTGACGAAGTGGGTATTCACCCACGAAAGCTTATGCTCCAATACGTCTGTTAGTCTATAAGGTGCCACAGGACTCTTTGTCGCTTTAAACAGTTGTAATCACCCTCAAATTACCAGTCTGGATAGAAAGCAGACCAAAAAAGAAATTATTCCATCCACTGAAATGTTTTCCTTTTCTTTCATTTTTCTTTCACATTACTTTAGCGAAGTTTGTTACTCTGTTTTGGCATAGAAAGTTCATGAGAGGGGTAATTTTTGAGAGCCTTTTATAAGAAGCACTCTAGAACATAGAGTAACCTTGATTTATATTTGAAGGTTGACATGGCATGTTTAAATCACAGAAAAATTGACTTTGGGTATAGGATAATAAAACAGCAACTGACTGCTTTGGCACAGTGAATATCGCTGCTGCCTCAAGGGAAAATTATGTTGGTATTTGGTTAAATAGAAATTAAGTCCTTTCTTTGTCTTCAACTCTCATTAGCTGTGGCTATAACAATAATATTGGGCAGAATGTAAAGAGTTCCAGCTGCTGGGATTTGTGTCACTATCCATATGATATACTTATGATTTTGGTTGATATTTAGAATGTAAAGGCACCTAGCTCCAATAGTGATGGGAACTTAAGAAGTTTGTATACAAGTAAAATATACAGAGGGAGCTAAAAATGTCATTTTCTGTACTTTATTTGAAGGAAGATTTATTGCAGCACTCTGACACATGGCTGCTTTTAGGAATGTCTTCTTTCTAATTCATCTATTAATATCTTTTGAAAAAAATGTTTACATATTTCTTACAGCTCCTCAAAGGTTAAAGGCTGGCACTTCCCTTTCTTTGGGAAATGATCACAACAGTAAGAAATAGGATTTGGAAAAATATCTCAATAATAGTTCACTTTATTATTCCCTAACAGCGGTGAGTGAAGGACCAGTCCCACAACAGCCATCCATGCTGCCACAGACACAGCCTGAACATGTCAGCAACGAGGATGCCCCGAGCAGAACGATTCCCACAGCCTGTGTCCGGCCTACGCACCCTCTCCGCAGCTTTGCCAACCCATTGCTACCTCCACCAATGAGTGCAATAGAACCGAAAGTCCCTTATACACCACTTTTGTCTCAAACAGGTAATAATTCAGGAAAGAATGACTGATATTATTTATTAGCCACCAAGGTGCAGTATTCTAGCTGAGCCTGGGTGCAGGGATTATCTGTCTAAGGTACTTATCTGCCCTCTGCCCTCAGAATAGAATGTGAGCACCTCATAATTTTAAATTAGTTATCTTCACAATACTCATGTGAGGCAGGGAAGTGCTGTTATCCCCATTTTAATGGTTGGGAACTGAGACATGTAGAGACTAAGGGCCAGATATTTAAAGTATTTATGTTCCTAAAGATGCAGATAGGCACCCTGTGAGATTTTGATAAGCCTGCAGAAACCTAGGTAGGTGCTTTTGAAAAATCCCACTATGTACTTATCTGCATCTTTAGGAGCTTAAATACCTATACAGACCTGGCCCTAAGTGACTTGCCAAAGGCCATGCAGGAAATCTATGGGCAGATTAGGGATTTGAACCCAGATCTTCCAAGACCTAGACACAGGACCATCCTTTCTCTTTCTGCAGTAGGGCTTTGATTTTTGTTCTGCTTATTTTCCATTGACTGCCATCATTTTACTTTTTGCATTTAATTTGTATTGCGCCAGGGCCCATCATGGATGTTCAAGGAAAGTGAAGGACACGAAGTCCTTCCCTCCTGCTCTAGAACCCCAGATAGGAGCCAGCCACAGTTGCGGTCCTTGTGTTCTCCTAAACACAGAGATTGTTCTCAACACTCTCTGGAGGGCCACACACCTCAAAGGAGAGTGGGAGGAGTAGCAGTGTAGAGGAGCACATGCTGTACTCTTAGGGGTGAGCCTCACACTCATTTGCACTAAAGTTTCTTTGCAGCATTCTGGCCATTGAAGGGGGCCTTGAAGTGAGCATATATGTCCTTAATGCCCACTTAAGTGCTCCAAAGTGGCGTAAAGTGGCCTGAGTAGAAATGCGAATCAGGCCTCCAGTGCCTTTCAGAGCTGCCCCCTGGGACAAAGCAGCTCTTCTCTGCCAGCAACCTGGGCCAGACCCTAATAGGCACAATCTGGCTATAAATCATAATGTCATGTACTGTGCCTTCTATCTATGTACACCACTCCCAGTCACATCATTGTCATCAGTAATGGTTGTGTCTGCGGACTGAGGCGGTTTGTAGACCTGAAACTAAATGACGTCTTGGTGAGAATTGTAGAATTAAAAGGTCAACCCTTACCTATATTTTGACTTTCTTAAAAGTTGCAGTCCTCTACATTTAAAATTCCTCATCCTCTACTGGGAAGCTCCATTAAATACCATTAAGTTCTCACTTGAAAGAAAAAGACATGCTTTAACTGTCAGAAAGAAAATATAGACTGTCCGGTATCTTAAAGAAGTTTCTTTAAGTTCTTGTAGAATGAAAAAAGAATTCAGACCATTTTATGATCATATTCCAGCATTTCATTAGGATTTTCTGGAATGGGAATTCAGAATAAGGCAATAGTTTAAAATTAGAGTTAATTAATAAGGGAGGAGAATTAAATAAATCGGGAGGCAAATGAATCAGTTGGTCTCATTTCAAATTTCATATTTGCTACAATAAATTAAATCAATGCCAAATCCTTGGCTCCTGTTTCAAGGTTTACTTTCTTGATAACGAAAGGATTATGTATATTTGCCAGAAAAACTGTCTGGAATCCAGTCCTGACAGCAAACTCATTAAAAATAAAAATTAAATATGCAAGGAATCGGAAGAAATAGAAAACAATTACAAGAAAAAAAAACTAGGAGATGAGAATGATGCTAGTAAGACCCTTCTTTAAATTCCTGCATTGCCTCCCTGCACCACGGGTCCAGGTGCAGAGAGGTAAGGGCCAGGAGTTCTCACTACTAGAGATGGGCAAATACCTAATTTTTTGGTTCTCTTGGCAATTCCAAAAAATAGGCGAGGGGGAAATCAGTTCAGATCAAACCAAATCCAGAAATGCCAAAAAATGTTGGCAAATGGAAAAATTCTGTTTCGGATCAAACAAAACATGTTTTGTTTGACCCGGAACATTTTGTTTCCAGTCATTTTAAAAGGACTAGATATACAAAGTGGTTGAAAGCGGAGAAGATGGTGGTGGGCTTCCCTAGAGCTTGTGTCCCAGTCATTAAGGTGCTCTCGTGAGATTAGGAGAGCCAGGTTTGAATCCCTGCTCTGGAGCGGGCATTTGAACCCAGGTTTCATCCCATTCCAGGCTATAGGGATGGATTTGTTTCAGTCTCTCCTGTTGAAGCTCCTCCACTTTGTATAAAATACTTGAATAGTCATTTGGCCAGAGAGAAGGAGAATAACTACACAGACATTAGCTTGGTGTTTAGGATGCTTACTCAGGCGAGAGAGACTCAAGTTTAAGTCCCTGCTCCAATGATTATTTATACTAAGAGGAACTGCTTCAAAAGGAGAGATTGAGTGCACCCCCATCCCAAAATAATCTATGGCCTGGTTCAAATTTACAAATAGTTCCATGTTGACTGAAACTGCATTTTTCGGCAAATACACTATTTGTCAAAAAAAATGACCTGATCTACTCACTACCCTACAGCACAAGCAAGTGGGGAAAGGGTAGAGTTTTAGGTCCATCCTCCACAATGCACCATCTCCACATTGGAGCTGTCATGGGGAAGGTAGTTGTTTGCTGCTAGTATGGACTATGGAGCAGAGAGAGGGATTGTGCTTTTCTAAAGATATTCCTTTCTTGGGATGCTTCTAGGATAGCACAACTACACACTACCCCGTATTTCACACCTCTTCTATATTGTATTAAATGCAATAAAATGAGACGAGTTTTATACATATACATTATATGAACCCAATCCTAGAATCCTTACATGAATAATTCTTATGCGAGTTGTGCTTTTGAAGTCAATAGCGTTATCTGGTAAATAAGGACTACTTGTGTGAATAAAGTGTGCAGGATGGGACCCAATATTGATAATTCACACTATGCAGTGTGGTGGGTTGCTCAATTTGGCAGAATTACCTGCAGTTCAGAAATTTCAGCTCTATTGAATTCTGTTCTATATTCAGATGTTGCTCTCTGAACATAGTGTTCTTGCCACACAACATATGTTACCTAACTGTAAGTGATTACAAGACTACCAAAAAAGCACCATGTTTTTACTATGAACACCTGCTATCCATCACTAGGTAATTCAATTTTTGACAGCAGACAGAGAAACCCTACAATGTTGGAAAGTCTTCTTTTTTTTTGGCCAACTCTTACAACTGAATTATATTTTTATATATGATAGGATCTATTCGTCCTTATGTAATACCACAAGTTTACCTAAGGCCAAATCCTACTGACCTTATTATGTGAATAAGCCTACTTACTTCAGTAGAACTACTTGTATAAGTAAAGCAATCAGGTTTTCGCACTTGATCTTCATGATTTGGGGGGGGGGGAGTAGAGGCATGTTAGCCATCCCCATATAAAGTTCAGTGATCACCATTAAAATTAGTATTTGTGAGTAATTATGTTACCTCAGTATTTTCTGTGTTCCCTAAGCCGTATAAGTCTGTATTGTTAATTAGACAAAAGTTTACATTAATTGTGACCACTGGATCCACATTTCCAGAGAAGGTGGCTGCCATGTACCAGAGCCACTGTGGAGGCATACTGGCTTATTTGTGGGTAGTCCCTGATAACTGCATGGACCTCAGAGGATCAGCAGGGTTTCTAGACAGGCAATTCCTCCTTCCTCCCCATTGACAGAACAATTAAGGAGGAAGTCCATGCGAGCATCTTCATGGAGATATCCCTATTTGAAACCCCTCTGATTTTGCTGTAGGTGGGGGCATGCCAGCCCTTAAATGCTAGCAATTTCTCTTTTGGGAAAAATAATTACTTGGCTCAAACAGATGGATGGAATGAATTCATTTTTCACTAGACTTGTTTTAGATCTCAAGCAATTTCTACTTGCAGAACATAATAATGTAATTAGTAATAAATTTGTCATTACTTAGACCAAACAAAATGTTTATTACTTTAAGTGAGTGTCATGGAAAACATTACTTTCTCATTTCTCAAACACATGTCGGGCAAGTGTCTTATCCCTTCAAAAATAACTGTGATGGAAACTTCCTATTTAATTGAGCTGGGATGAAGCCAACAGGGTCCTATAGAAATATAACAGGGTTCTATAGGAATTGATCTAAAAACCTCAGGACAAAGATTTTTTCAAAAGTGGATCCCTAAAAGTAGGAGCCTATATCAATATATACAGGCACCTAAATAAGCAGCCTCATTCTTAAAGATTATGACTATCCAGCAGATCTAACTGATCTCAGTGGAAGCTTGTATATGTTTAGCACTTTTGAAAATCAGACCATTTATTCATGTGTGTAAATGTGGATTTAGGAGACTAACTTTAAGCCCCTGTTTTTGAAAATTGCAGCCATAGAATTTAAGGGCCAAATGTCATGGTCATTTAAGTCAATGGGAGTCTTTTTGTTGACACACACACACACTGTCATAAACAGACAGTTAAGGGTTAATGCCTCTTTTACCTGTAAAGGGTTAAGAAGTTCACATAGCCTAGCTGACACCTGACCAGAGGAACCAATGGGGGGACCAAATGTTTCAACCAGGAAGGAGGGAAGAGTCCTTTGTTCACAGTTCATTATGTTTTGTGCTGGAGAGAAAAGATCCAGGAATCAGCCTCCTATCAGGGTAGTGAGTATTAGAGAAGGAATAAATTAGCTTATGTTTATTTTATTTTGTGATTTGTCTTTTTGCATAAGAGTGAGATTTAAATTGGGTTTTTCTTTTGTGTAACTTTAAGGTTTTGCCCAGGGGAGACTCCTCTGTGTTTTGAATCTGTTGTCTGTGAGAATAGCTTGCACTCAAATCCTGCCAGGAAAGTGGGGGATGATTAATTTCTCCTTGTTTTAAGATCCAAGGGTTTGGATTGGTGTTCACCAGGAAATTGGTGGAGAAGTCTCTCAAGGCTACCCAGGGAAGGGTTATAGTACTTGAGAGGGAGATATTTTGGGGGGAATACAGAATTTC